AATTTTGTGATCATCAGATCATGCGTGACTATGCTCATCTGGATTGGACAAAAAACCTTTCTTAAATTTGATCATAACAAGTGTAGTTGGTCTTTTACAACTCAAGGGCTTTTATAATTAGTTATGTGCTTGGTAAACCTTGTTCTTCTTAGCAAAGTAATGTCCAGTATTATAACTAGCTCACAATCTTTCAGTAACATAGGTCTTGGGTCATTTAAGTTAGACAGTGAATGCTAGCATTCAGTTAGAGTGAAATTGGATTTACCAAAAATCAGGCTGTTATTATTAGACTGTGAATGCTAATTCTTCTTTTATTGTTTAATATGTTTTTATTTTTCATTTTTGTTTCTCCTTTTTGTAAACCCTGAAAATCCTAGTGATCTCGATAATCTCAAAACCAGTCCAGTAACTATTTGATTGAACTAGGTTCTACTTCAAGCAACTTAACCTATCAGGTTCATTAAAGAATCCGACAATGAAAGAGTCACTTGAGCTGGTGTCAGTTTGGCTAAGAATGGTCGAATCAACCAGTTTTATTGAATCGGACGATACCATTGAACGATTGGTTTTAACAATTTTTAAGTTAATAAAAATAAATGGAATTTGAACATATACCATATGGGGAAAAAGTACCTTTAGCTGAATACACTAAGAAAGAGTTATTCTCACGGATTTTGGCAAATTTAAACATATTAGGTTATATAAGTCAGCATTCATTACTAAAGATTATGTCCTATATAAAGCTGATTAAGTCGGCAGTTGAACCACAAAAGGCTCAGCCGACTATTTTCGGTTCAATATTTGTTTCAGTTGTGACAACATTGAGTGTTTCAAAGAAGACAGTAGTCAAGAGTCGCTGCTCTTTTTCCCATGAGCAGATTTTCTCGGACTATGATGATTTTTATTTGTGAATGCATAAGAGAAGATGACTTGAGTCCCTTAATCAAAGTTGGAAGTTAGACTTTGATCCTTTGAGAAAATTCGGAGGTGTTCTTCATTGCCAATGTTTGAAATTAGGTAATTCTATCCTTTCATATTTCTTCTCTGTAGATTCCCAGACACTTTTAGGTAAAACTATAAAATAAAGCAGAAAGTATTCTTTTTTTTCTTTTATCGTGTAATGGAATAGGAAATAATATGGTTGTGACAGTTCCACATAGATTAATGTTAAAACTGTATCAGTTGATTCTTCTCCTTTCGGTTTTATTGGAGAAATTATTTGGTGTTCCATGAGCACCAACATGGCACAAACACCTCAATAGAAGGAGGCCATATCACATGTGGCACAAACTGTCCCATCACCTTCTCATTTGTAAGTGGTTTCCATCACATGTCATCATCCTATTCAGCTGGCGTATGCCTTCTTAGTGCTCATGGAGCACCTAAGAGTTAGTCGTTTAATTGACTTTTTTTTACATAACTGCTTTCTTAAATTGTTGTCATCATCATGTAATCAGAAATCAAGCATCCTATTCCTAAATAAAAATTTTGGAAATAGTTCACACATACTCTTAAAGATTAATTTTCTCTAAGTTGGAATGCCAGCCCTAGTGGAAACTTACTTCTGTTCTGCTCTTTGAGAGAAGTAAACTGCTCATGATAATGAGAAAAGCGGTGATGGTAATCAATTGGATGCACATGCAAGTCAATATGGCTTGCACTATGCATCCTGTTGAAAATTTCTTCGCAGCCAAGATAAGTTTTATGGGTTATGAGAGCATGTTCTCTAACTCATTCTCTGTTCCGAATTAAGTAAATATTTCAATATGCCTTTTATTTTATAAGTGAAATCCTGGAGTCTGGTTTAACGACTGGCTGTGCATTTTTTTTCACTTAAAATGTATTTTATGTGGAGGTTGTAGGCCCTCTTCCAGATGAATTCCTTTTTTGCTTAATACTATTTTCATAATTTATCATCTATTTTCTTAATTTTTGCGTAAAAGAATGCTATTATTTATTGTTGCAGTGGCTGATACTATCTTGTTCAGAGAGCTTAATGGCAAGTCATCTAGAGCAATTAGCATCAGTTTTGCAATCTTTTGTCCAGAGCTAGTAGTAGCATATTATATAGGAAATTTCTACAGTATGCAATGTAAACACTTAGATAGCGTGTGTACCTTTGCTGTAGCTCCATATAGTTCTGTTTTACTTGGTTTAAGTTGCAAGAGTAAACAAAAATAAGTTTGGGCACAATTATTTCCTACTGTCTACGCTGACTGCTGATATGTTGATAAGGAAATAGGGAAATTGAAGTTTTAGTTAAGACTAGTTGTTATTGGGAAACACCAACAATCAACCTCATGTCTGGACAAAAAATTCGTTCTGATGCTTGTTAATCCAAATCTTTGGCCTAGCCGGTATAGATGATTAGCACGTCCCTGTAGTTTCCACCCCGCTTTCTTTCCTGTTTGAAACTACTTCTAATGTATGATATCTGAAAACTTAAATCTTCTTCGATATCTAGAAAAATATATCTATATCCTTCAAATCTTTTAGCTGATAGCAACAACTCAAAATATTGTTGGTGGCCAAGGATAGAAGAGTAGTTGCTCCTTTTATTGAAAATTCTATGCAATATTGGGTGGGTTAGTAGGGATCCAAGTATGCTCAACTTGACTTGATAGCTGTTGTATTCCAATACATCAGCTGTTTTGCGGGGAAATAAGGACATCTAGGCGCAATGACAAATGATAAAAATTCTCAAATGTGACTTGTCTACATTATATCATCTAAGGAAATTTTTTATCCGTCATGAGTTAGCAGTGACCTATGTGACCTGAAAACTTCTATCATGAAGCCATACCCGTACCCGAAAAGTGTCATACCTGTACCCGTACCCGTACCTGACATTTCATGAACACTTCTTAAATATAGACATGTACTCAATTGTACACTACATGTTTTAAATTTAAAACACTCGTCATCCACTTCTTGGACAGATATCCCATACTTCACATCCATTTCTTGAACTTGTTGGACAAGAGTCAAGTTTGTTTCAGCCTTAAGAAGTACAATTTCAAAGGTCCTTTGCATATCTAGCTCAGGAGTAAGATTAAAGTCCATAATTCCAGCTGTGTCCCCGTACCATGCCTGCTACAAAATTTCCATGTCCTGTACACATACCCGCACCCTATCCATGAAACTTAGGCAGTGACATTTCCATTATGAGTTCATCTTTGCATCAAACATCCTGGATAGCTGGACAATTGATAGGTATACTTATTGACTGTTATGGGCTTTAGAATACGGTTCAAAGTTAGGCCATACCTTGCTGCTTCAAGAGAACATCTTGACAACTAAGATGCACATCTTTGTTCGAGCTCACTCATCTGGCTTTGTTTTCCCCCCTTTCATGATAAAATCCCATTGTTAAGCACTAGAGCAATGTTTTGATAACGTTTGGTTACACCATTATAGTAAGTGTTACATTTTATTTAGTTTAATAAAATTAAGACATCTTCCTCCTTTTCATGTTAAGCACGGATATTTAGATATTCTAGTCAGATTGTCAGAAATTTAATTATATTTTAATCAGATTTTCAAACATCATTATTTAGCAGTAGGTAACAGAAGCCATTCACATCAAACATCTGAGTGTCTACGCGTGTTCACCAGAAATAAGCATCCAAGGGTACCTATGTCAGGTGATTTAGAATTCTGAGTATGGGTTTTGCCGCCTTAGCTTTTTGATACTGCTATCACACAAACAAGTAGTTTTCTGTTGGGCCTTGAGTTAAAAATTGAAGGTTGTGGGAATTTCCATCACTATAATATCCTATTTTAAAATCCTAGGTTACAAGAAGTTAATGCATATCCATCGGTGCTTCAACAGCACCAAATTAATGCATATCAATTTGTGCTTCGCATGCTGGTTCGTGCAAATACACATGCTGAATTCTTATTGTCATGGCATCCTGCTTCAGTCATTATCTAAAGTAGGCATTTGTTTTAGTGAAATATGGAATCAGAGAACTTAAGAAATTTCCAAATATGAAAATACACTATCATTTTTAAATTACTATTTTTGTGCAAATATAGGAATAACATAACTGCCTTATTTCAAACACTGGAAAGTTAAAGCTATTGCCTTCTGTCATCCTTTCATACTATAGCCCTGATCTTGTAGAATCCTGATCTTAAGATATAATGTCCGGACAATGGAGCATCCCCCCTCCCTCGAAGAATCAATCCCTCCTTTGTCTCCTGGTAGTTTTATATTTTTTCACTATACTATTTGGCGGACCAGTTGGGCCTTGGTGATATGTTCTTCTTTCGAAGCGTTTTGCCAATAGAGTGAGGGTGTTGTTTCCAGTGACAACCGCCTGTTCTTACAGCGGGGGCGTGCCTTTCGGCTAGTACTTGAGATCGTTTAAAAAGAAATTTCCCTGGATCTGGGAAAACTCCTGTTGACCAAGCTCTTGTCTTAGTGATTCTTCCTCTTTTCTATGTTTTTCTGAGTTTTAAAATGGTAGATTTTTAATTTTGACAACTCAGACTGTGGCCCACCATGTCGCATTAAGATCTAATGAACGTGGAGCTTTGCTTTCCAGTCTTGTTTAAGTCAAAGTTGATAAGTATCTCAAACATATAATATGAACGAAGATTTATGTGAAAAGGGATGTCCAAGAAATGTCCAAGTGTTCTGAATCCAAATATTCACTATATAATTGGCTAGATGTTGTAATTAGTGATGACATGTTCCTAAAGAGTGTCCATCAGTGTCCGATATGGGTATCAGTTTGTCAGGTGAGATTTCTAATATAAGTAGACATGTAGTTGGAATTTGTACATTATTGATATACTGTAATCTTTCAATTGATTGCATCCAATTCATCATCTTTTATGACTGGGAGCAGTGCATGTTCCATCTATTAAGTAAACTTCCGTTTTTACTTCTTTCCATATTTAGCAAACAGAAACCTGGCAAATTTCATTTGAAATGAACAATTTAAAACATATTGAGCTTCTGTGTATAATGTTTTATAGCACGTGTCTTCCTTCTGATTTCCTCAAATTTTGTAGTGACAATATGAAATGAAAAGGTCTTGAGTTAAACATTTTGTTGTTCTGCCCTCTGTTACACAGATGGTGTTTACTTGATCTTGCCCGTAGCTCTGTGGAGGATGATTGCTGTGCTTTAATGATGAAAGGGAAATCTGAGATCCTAACTGTGGTTGAAGTCAACAAGCCTCCTCCAGCCAAGAAATCTCGGAGGGAGAAGAATAACGGGAAGTTGCTTACTGCTTCAAGTTCAACAGAGGCAATGGAACAACTAATTTGGAAGGAGTTACCTGAAGATCTTCTTGAATCTGTAATTGCAAGACTTCCTGTAGCCACGTTTTTCCGGTTTCGTTCAGTATGTAAAAAGTGGAACTCTTCGCTCACTTCAAGCAGTTTCTCCCAGTATTATTCAGAGATTGGACAATCACATCCTTGGTTCTATACAGTTACCCATGAAAATATCAACAGGGGAGCCATGTATGATCCTTCTTCTAGAAAATGGCACCACCCCTCCATTTCTTTCTTGCCACCAAAAATGATCATTCTTCCGGTGGCCTCAGCTGGAGGTCTCATTTGTTTCATGGACATTGGCAACAGGAATTTCTATGCCTGCAATCCTCTGACCAACTCATTCAAAGAACTCCCTCCAAGGTCCATGCAGGTTTGGTCACGTGTAGTGGTAGGGATGGTTCTTAACGGAAACTCTCTTCGTAGTGGTTACAAAATAGTGTGGTTAGGATGCAGTGGGAATCATGAGATCTATGATTCAGTAAAGAACAGCTGGGCTCGTCCAGGAAGTTTACCACCTGGCATTAAGCTTCCACTATGTTTGAATTTCAGGTCTCAAACTGTGGCCATTGGTAGCACACTTTACTTCATGAGAGCGAACCCAGATGGAATCCTGTCCTATGATGTTGCCACTGGAATGTGGAAGCAGTTTGTTATACCATCACCAGTCCATCTGACTGACCATACTCTTGCGGAGTGTTCAGGGAAGCTTATGCTGCTGGGACTGCTGTCTAAAAATGCTGCCACATGCATATGCGTGTGGGAGTTGCAGAGGATGACTCTTTTGTGGAAGGAGGTTGACAGAATGCCAAATGTGTGGTGCTTGGAGTTTTATGGGAAGCACATTAGGATGACTTGCTTGGGCAACAAGGGGTTGCTTATGCTTTCATTGAGGTCAAAGAGGATGAACCGACTGGTTACTTATGATGTGAAGAAGAGGGAGTGGCAAAAGGTGCCAGACTGCACACTTCCTCGTGGTAGGAGAAGGCAGTCGATTGCATGTGGTACAACATTCCATCCGTGTCCTGCTGCTTTTGCTTGAAAACACTCTCTTACCTGTTGGGAAAGGTATAATTCACTGACATTTTCTTCCTTCAATTAAGAAGTCTTATAATACTATTATGATTTGTCTTTTGACTACTAAAAAGCCTTGAAGATTTGGGTTCTAATTAACCTTCTGCTATATTTGCATGTTCAATGTCAAATGACTAGTTGCATTTATGATTTTCTGTATTCTATAAGGTATTCCCATGTGCCTCCATCTTAGTAGTTTCTAGGATATGAAATGTCGATGCATTGATAGACGATGACTTAAGTCCACTTTACCACTGATCATTGTAGCTATATTGCATGGGTAGGGTGCTGTATTTCTAAATGCTCACTGATAAATGACTTATCTACATTTTTTATCAATGTATTGACCACGACACTGTTATAAATAGCGGTAAATAGCCCCGCAATAGCTGCGCTAATAGCGTTAGTGGTCCCTTCCAGCGACGCTATCGCCCGCTACGCTATCGCGCAATAGCGGTGACATATTACGGAATATGTCTGTTCGCAAAAGCGGTCAATAATGTGTCATAACGGTAAATAGTGAGCGATTGCATTCGAAATTTGCTTTTTGACTACTATTTAAAAGCGGTTTGAGGCTTATTTTTTAAAAATTAAACTTAACCCTTGACCATTGCATTCCACCGTCTCCTGTGATTTTCAGCATATTCTCGTCACCTCTCATAGCCTCTGACACCTACCTTGATACTTCCTCTCACATTCTTCACCGTGAGCTCCTCTTAGGGCAGTCCTGTCACCGCTAAGCTATTCTTCTCGAAGATGACTTTTTGACTCCTCCAGTAATCTTTTTCTTTAATTTTTTTAGTATTTATACATATCTAAATTAGACCGCTATTTAACTTTGCGTTTTTTACCGTTATTTTACCGCAATAACCCGAAATAGCCTTAGCGATGCCTCACCGCTATGCGACGTATCCGCTATCGATAACCTTGGACCACGGGCACATAATGAAATAGAAGGATACGACACATATGGAACTCTTGTACAAAGGCAAAAAAGCTGAAACACATCAAAGCATTGTCTTTTCTTGCCCATCAAAATGCAATTCCTGTATAATTAGGCTTTAAGGGCATCTCCAACAGCTTCTCCAAAATTTTCTCCAAAATGGTGAAACAAAAGTTATATTCTCCAACTAATTTTTACACCAACTCCAACAGCTTCCCCATTTTAAAGAATCTCTTTTTTCCTCCAAAAATTTGGAGAATGTTACAGATTTGGGGAAGCATCCTCATTTTTTCTTCTCCATCTCTATTTTGGGGAATGAGATGGGGAATCTGTTGGACCAAAAACCTAACTAAATTCTCCAAAAGTTAGAAATGGGGAAGCTGTTGGAGATGCTCTAACAACCGTTAAACCCCCCCCCCCCCCCCCAAAAAAAAAAAAAAAGAAAAAGAAAAAAAAGACTGCACGCGCACAACCAACCCGCGGAATTTAGTATTTATATGTGATCTTGTACCACTAAGTTGGATTTAGGATTGTTGGATTTAGGATTGTTCTTCGGACCCTATTCTCTTCTAAGAGCGAGAGAACAGAAATTAACTTTTCCCCCTTTCTTGTGGCAGCAATTTTACTGCTTTTTTAAAACCTTTTTATTAGGCGTAAAATTTCATTATTTCCTTTATTTATATAAAACATAAACATTTTTTTCTTTCCAAAACAATCTTAGAGCTTATTAGCTGGTGTGTATTGATGAAATACTCTCTCATTGAGTAAGTGTAGTGAATGTTGTTAATATACTTTCCTCTCTTTCCCAGTTACCTTTCTGATTTATGATCCTGTGTTCTGCTTGTTTCTTATTTTAGAGTGCATATTCTTGTATCTTAATTCCTTCTGATGTTTTCTTTCATCTTAGAAGATAACCTGCTTCATGATTTTTGTTTCGGGATATTTGCAGACTGCTAATATTCCATTAGATGCACATCTGTTAGTAGATGATCAATTTCTCTTTCCGGAATGAGGAGCTGTAGAAGGTAAATCATGGAGGATTTCAGAAAGGCTCGCACAAGAGAACAAACTTTATGATTGCCAAGAGGTACTGCTAGAGAACTATGTTCGTTGTGTCAAATACAGTTGTATTTTTCAAATTTTATTTGTACTTTTCTGTGGCATAGACGACTTTCATTATCCCTTTTCTTTTGTATTTTGGGCTATTTGTTCTTCTCTTTGCAATTCTATTAACTTACCCATGTTTGGGAGGCTATTGTTATCATGCTCAAATTATGTTACTGTAGCCATAGTTTGATTATGATTTTCGGCCCAAATGCCATTCAGATTTCGACTATGATCACTGATTAGCCTCATGGAGGGGCTAAACTGAATTATGTAGCTGCCGCTATGCTCTGATAAATTTCGTGACCGTCTTTTATCTCCATTAGCTTACAATTTTTGTGCCTACTACAAGTAGTCGCAAGTGCTTTGTACCGTATTCCGGAGGTTAGGCATATATGTGCCGAGTTTGGTAAAGGGTTAAGTGAGGGGTTAAAGAGACTTGACCCTTTTTTAATCCGCTAAACACAAAAAGCTCTATACAAGAGTTAAAAGCGAGTTAATCCTCTATAATTTGCTAAATGCAAAAGAATGCAGAAGTGTTACGCTAACCCCTCTGGATGGATTAAAATGAGTTAACCCTTCAAAATGAGGGGTTTACTAGTACTCTTATTTGGAAAGATTAAGAATTAACCCCTCTAATTATAAACAAAATAACCAAAATTTTTGTTATTCCCAAACACTAAAAATGACCAAAAGGATTAAAATAAAACTTATATAACAGATAAATAATTTAGTCTTTAGGATTGTTTTTTTCCCAACCACTATTATTTTTACCATCGGATATACATTCTTGAGACTTTTAGAGTCTTGAATAAGATTCGGAGGGCGCTACTCAGTAAATAGAAAATTTTCCAATAGATTGGATGATTTGGTTCTACTGTATATGTGGTGTTGTGAGCAACCCTTTAATCAACAATACTTATTCACAACGGATCCAGTGGATGCTTCAAAACCATAGTCGTTTTTCTTTACGTGGACCAATGGTAGTCCACTTATTTGGCGCGGATAACTGCTGCTAGTTCATCACTTTTGAATCTAATTTCGCCTTTTGCTGTTGCGACGCCATCTCCATTTCCTGTCATTTTGGTCATCCCCCTCTGTTTCCTCATTAGTGTTGGGGATTCGAAACAATCAATCGAATCCTTGTCCTTCCGGACCTTGTATTGAAAGTAGGAAAGTAGGAATAATATCACAAATAAAGATCTAACTTTACAAAATTAGTAAAGGAGACGAACACAGATTTAACGAGGTTCGGTAACGAGCCTACGTCCTCGGGAGCCATACCACACAATCTCTTTATTAATTGAAGTAGAGTCTTGGGGAAAACATAATCCAAAACAGTTTAGGAAACTGTTTGACTACGTCGCGGTCGACCGCGGCGGTCGACCGTGCCAAACGACAGAAACTCCCAGATTTCCAGAGAGTTGAGCGGTCGACCGCCGCGGTCGACCGTGGATCTGCCTGCTTGTTTTCTCGTCGTTTTGATTCCAGCTCTTGTCTCGACTTTGGGTCTACAACTTAGACTAACAATTAGGGATGGCTACACTTAATTTCTATTAATTTGTCCTCAACCAGATGAGGTTAGTGCTTACTAACATCAACTTTTTCTTTTTTGTTAAAAGCTCTGTTATCAACTGCCACCACTAACGTACCTAACCTGCTTTCGTGTTGTTTTTCTGATCTCAACGTGGAAAAAGTTTAGAGCATGATACCTGCGAGCATCCATCAGCCTGAGTCTCGATCTTTATGGCTTTATAAATATAGATGCAAATGTTGTGTGGTTAAATTTGAGATGAATCTGAAACCGTGTACTGATTTACTTGTGAACCCGACCAGAGTGCCGAAAAGCAAACACTCTGGTTAGAGTCTTCATATTTTCTTGAGTAACCCTATCGATCATTTTGTTAGTTGCTTGATTCTGCGGCACCTTTCACAAGCATCTATGTCTGTTAATTACAAATGAGATAATGTGGCATTAATTCAAAACAATTAGGAATAATAAATCATGTCCCCCACCTCACCAGTGGCTAATTATTTTTTGTCCTGGGCGAAAAATAAAGATGGTCTACGAGTATGTCGTGAGGGAGAGGAGGGAGGCGCGGGAGAGGGAGGGTTGGGGATTGTTGAGATGGAGGTCCTGAAAGAGGAGGCCGAGGAGGTTGGATTTGTGGGAGAGGGATGTGAAGTGGTGGGAGAGGAGGGAGAGGTCGTGGGACAGGCGGAGTTTCTTGTGTTGCCTGCAGCCTTGTTTGACTTAGCCAGCCGCCTCCGCCTTACATTTTTTGAGAACTGCAATCGGTGGCCGAAAGGAGCCTGCAAAGTTTGACAAATTAAAGTGGTGGCGGGTCCCACCAACTAAAATATTATTAGTGGCGGGTCCCACCAATAATATTTTATTTGTGCATAGTGTTTCCCAAACACTATAAATAGGGCATTAACCTCTTAAGAAAATCTCATCCCAGAAACAACTCCTCTCATAGAAGAGTAAGAGAGAAAACAGAGAGAGAGAGATTGTGAGAGTTCTTGGAGTGTATCTGATCAAGAAAGAGTATTCTCTTTGATCTATTCTTTTGGGATATAAAAGAATTTGGCGTCATCGTTGCACCGTGGAGTAGCTCCGAAGGAGTGAACCACGTATATCTGTGAGTACTGTGTTGAATATTGTGCCTTTATTTTGTGTATTACGTCTTCGTTCGAGGTGTTATTATCGGGGTGTATCCTAACAACTGGTATCAGAGCCTAACTTAGAGTATATATATCTGTTTATCGTATGCTCTGTGGCTGCCACTAAAAGTGGATCCTCCACATCAGAAAATAAGTTAGATTATTATTTACTCTTTTAAGGCATTGAGCACTATTCACATGTACGGTACTATTCACGAATATGATACTATTCACGAATACGGTACTATTTATAAATACGGGAAAGACGTAATCTTTCGCCATAGGATCTACAGTTGAAGACAACAGGCTTCGAATTGAGAAGTTCGGCGACCAAAATTTCAGGTATTGGATGATGCAAATAGAAGACTATTTGTACCAGAATGATCTCTTCCTACCCCTCCAAGGAGAGACGGCGAAGACGATAAGTGGAAGGTGCTCGATCGTAAAGCACTTGCCACCATTAGGCTCAACCTTCACCAGCACGTGACTTACAACGTCTCGCATGCGACCACCACCAAGGAGTTGATGGAGGCCCTGGAGGCGCTGTATGAGAAGTCGTCTGCTTCAAATAAGGTGTACCTAATGAAGAAGCTATTCAATCTGAAGATGCAGCAAGGAGCTCGCGTGGCGGACTTCTTGAATGAATTTCAGGCTGTTGTGCAACAGCTTGCTGCAGTGGATCTAAAGTTCAACAACGAGATTCAAGCTCTTCTGTTACTTTCTTGTCTACCAGATTCATGGGAGAATATGGTGATGGCGGTGAGCAACGCCAATGGAAATGACAAGATGAAGTTCGACATGGTGATTAGGGCAATTCCGGATGAAGAATCTCACCGCAAAGTCTCAGGAGCTGAGGCCTCTAGCAGTGGGAGTGCTCTGCATGTCGAGGCGCGAGGGCGTGCACAGAAGAAGGGTAGGGGACGACGAGGCCAATCAAAATCCAGAGGGAAGTCTAAAGGGTCGAACCCAAATGGTTACGGTGAAGGGAAGTGCTTCAGGTGTGGAAAGAATGGTCACTTTGCACGGGATTGCAGAGTTTCTGTTCCAGCATCAGCAGGGGATGATCGGGCTGACGGTGCAGCCAATCTTGTTAGCCCTCATGTTTTGATGATGTTCTTACAACCACCATTATCGGTACTAATGGCTTATTGAGTGTAAATGTAGTAAAATCATTTGTCAAGCTCGTTAGTGCCATTAACGGAGGATGAAACGCTCAGTGAGACGAGTCCACATGGCCTGAGCAGAGGGAAGCGAGCCAATCTCGACAGTGAGACCAGAGCCAACACAGCGAGTGAGATAATCCATAACACGAAATTCCTGCAATTGCCACTCTGAACTCTCCTTGACATAGAGAGCACGAGCAGTCTGAAGATCGACATCACCACTGCCAGAGGCAATAGTACTGGATGAAGCAACAGTGCTGATGGACGGTGGAACTGGTCCCGTACTGGTGAGATGATCAAGCAAACCAGCGCCACGCAAGGCATTGGTGACAATGGTGGACCACCCTGCCCAGTCACTTTGATCATTGAGGGGCAAAGGTGGTTTGGGAATCTTCTCTGAAGGAGCCATAACAGCAATCTTGAGACGTTAAGATGTCGAGATGCTGTTACTAATGTCGTTCGTTTGAGGCCGAGAGACGGCTTGAAACGACGATGCCGTTAATTTGAGACCGAGAGACGGTCTTGAAACGACAATGCCGTTAAAATAGAACCCGAAGGTTAGAATGAAACCCGAAGGTTTAAAATAGAACCCGAAGGTTAGAATGAAACCCGAAGGTTTAAAATAGAACCCGAAGGTTAGAATGAAACCCGAAGGTTTAAAATAGAACCCGAAGGTTAGAATGAAACCCGAAGGTTTAAAATAGAACCCGAAGGTTAAACGAGAACGCGAAACGCGTTAAGAGGCCGCAAAACGACAAGGCCAAAATATCTGGCAGATGAACGCCAAATAATTAAAAATAAAAATAAAAAAAATAAAACATTAAACGGCTGCAAAGCAATAAGGCCAAGATTTGGCAAAAGAACGCAAAAGCGTTAAAAATTTTATTGAAAGGGAAATAGCCCTAGCTCTGATACCATGTTAAAGTAAGAGAGAGAGAGAGAATCTTGGGTAAATTTCCCTTGAATTGAATATTGAGTGTGCACATATATTTATACAAGTAGAGGAGTGTGAGGTTTGTTCTCCCAAGCAATGTGGGACTAAAACCCACTACAATACACTATTATCAACAATCTCAAACATTTTATGTTCTGAAAATAAAAAAGTTTCCACAATTTTCATAAAATTGGTTACCTTTTTTTGTCTCTG